CCATCAAAAACTCATTTTTGATGCTCATTGTCTCTAAATTGACTAGCCCGGATCTACGGGCGTTACAATGACACCTTTAGTCTCTCATTCCCTTCTTTTCTTTCAAATTTAATCCAAATGTTACCAAACATGCCTTCCTATACAAAACCCTTTTCAATTTGGGTCCAGAATTTACCATTTAGTCCTTGCCCCCAAGAATCTATTCAATATAAGTCCAAATGATACCAAACACACCCCGACTTCTGAAATCCTTTTCAAAATAGATCCTGAAATTACACTTTAACCCTCGGAGATTCAAATCTTGTCATTTGGCTTTCCGAAACCAACACCCCACTAATTATTATTTGATTTTGGACAATAATAATATAAAATAATAATAATAATTAGTTCTCGAGGTTTCAGGTTTATTATTTAATTATTTTATTTTAAACGGGATGTTACACACCTTATTAATGTCCCGCGTAGGATTTCGTGAGAAAAACCTAAAAAACCCAAACATAAGTACTGAATGTGTACAAAAACAACAAAGACTTATTTTGCAACAAAAATAATATTAAGGACTAAATATACAAAAAAATACCAATGACTAAATGTGTACAAAGTGAGATATATATTACCCTTTTAAGTCATTTTTTTTTGGTTTACCTGGAGTAGCCGGTCATAAGGACTAAATATGTACAATTAAACAAGTTGAAGAGGTAAATGTGGACGGAAAAAAAACTCAGTGACCAAATATGTACAAATCGAAAAATATATTATCATTTTAAGCAATGTTTTAAAAATCGGTTTGAACCGGTCGGTCGAACCGGGAACGGAATGGAACGGTTCAACTAGCATCCGTTTTATGCCTATTTCTGAACCGAAACAAACCGACCGATTTTTACAAAAAACCGATTAAACCAATTAAATTAAACCGATTGAACCGGTTAACTTGAATAAAAACATATCAACATGAAACATTTTGCAATATAAACTTTGGTGAAGTTTTTGATGCTTTTGTATTCAATCAAAACTGTATTTTATTTCGGTATTATAGTTTTTTTTAATGTACGTGGATTGATGTAAAACTAATCGTTAAGAGTTTTTTCTCTATGTATTTGGATTGATCTATAACTTGTTTTTATGTATTTTTTTTAATGTTTGAACTTGTAGACTTCAAATTATTTATTTATATATGTATGTATATATGTGTATGTAGGAAAATAGGAAAAATTATGAAAATTATGAAAAACCGGTTTGTCAGGTGGTCGAACCGGTTAAAACAGTTGAACCGTGAACTATTCACCATACCGGTTTAACTAAAAAACGATTTTTAAACCATTACTTTTAAGTCGGTATCCCTTATGAAAATGATGTAATTTTTCCATTTAAAAAATTGATTTATCCATATAATATATATACAATATTTTTGCAGCAGCTAATGTATATTTTCATTGCTAAAGTTTTTAAATAGTAAAATTTTAAATAGAAAAATCACCCACCATCCTAAAATATTAAAGTAAATTGAAACATAAGAATTTAAAATAAATAAATAAATAAAGGTAAATCTCGGTTGTAATTCTAAACATTTCACCGAAACAGAGGCTTCAACATCAACAGTCGCCGTCAGATGCCGTGTAAACTCCGATACATGCAACGCCGGCAATGATCTCTATCACTCCGCCATTATTCGTCTACGTTACCCTCAAACTCGAACCCCGTCGTCTTATTCGCATTTCTACATCTTGAGATTACCATAACATCCCTCGAAAGTCCAAATCACTTCAAATCCTCTACATTTTCTCAAATCAGTTCACGAATTAGATTAATCGATGATGGCATACGAGAATGAGGGCTTCGAAGAAGCCCATCCCTACGCTTCTCCTCATGAAGACATGGAGTCCCTTGTTCTTCACGATGACGATACTAACAATAATTTGTCCAAATCCAATGGCGGAGCACACGGCAGAGATGATAATCAACGCCACTACCCTCACAATTCGTTCAATTCGTTCCTCGAGCCCCCTTCGTACGCGGAGGCAGTATTCAGATCGTTCGATGGTGACCACACCAAGCAAATCAACAGCCACGGTGTTGTCTCCACGTCAATGCCGTCTACTAATTCTGATTACTTAAAAATTTCAGTTACAGATCCTCGAGAGGAGGAAGATCTAGTTGCCGGTGGGAACACCTACGTGACCTACTTGATAACCACATGGACGAATCTTCCGGAGTTCAACGGAACAGAATTTAGCCTCCGGAGACGGTTTAAAGATATCGTCACGTTATCAGATCGGTTATCAGAATCATATCGAGGTTTTTTCATTCCGATGAGACCGGATAAGAGTGTGGTTGGGAAGCAGGTTACGCAAAAGCAAGAGTTCGTTGAGCAGAGGAGAATGGCCTTGGAGAAGTACTTGAAAAAATTAGCTGCTCATCCTGTAATACGAAGAAGTGAGGAATTAAGAGTGTTTTTGCAGGTGCAGGGGAAGCTGCCATTGATGAAGACCACAAATATGGCATCAAGGATGGTAGATGGAGCAGTGAAGCTGCCTAAGCAGTTGTTTGGAGAGCCTGTTGAGTCAGCAAAAGGAGGGGGAGATCTTCTCAGAATATTCAAAGAGCTAAGGCAATCAGTCACGTATGGTTGGGGTGCAACGAAGCCACCTCTGGTGGAAGAGGACAAAGAATTCATGGAGAAGAAGATGAAGTTGCAGGAATTTGAGCTGGCGTTGGGTAATGTATCTCTGCAGGTCAGTTAGTTTGTTTATCTGATGAGTATGCAATCAATCATTACTTTATTAACCTAAGTTGATCATCATCTCTTTATAATATAGGCTGAATCTCTTGTTAAAGCTCAACAAGACATTGGTGAAACCATGGGACAATTAGGGTTAGCATTTGTCAAACTAACTCAATTCGAGACCAATGAAGCCATGTTCAACTCTCAAAAAGCAAGAGCACGAGATATGAAGAATGTTTCAACTTCTGCTGTTAAAGCAAGTAGATTGTATCGTGAATTGAATGCACAAACCATCAAACATTTGGTAACTGCTCTATACTTCACTTATATTTCAAGAGTAATATCAAGTATGATAACTTGGATTGATTTAAAAACTTTTTTGGTGAACAGGACAAGCTTCATGACTACCTTGGAGTGATGTTAGATGTGAATAATGCATATTCAGATAGATCAAATGCTTTATTGACAATACAGACTCTTGTATCAGAGGTTTCAGCTCTAAATTCAAGAATTGAAAAGCTTGAAGCAGTTGCATTCAAGGTATTTGGTGGTGACAGCTCTAGAATTCAGAAACTTGAGGAGTTGAAAGAAACCATGAGAGTTACAAACGAAGCTAAAAATCAAGCAGTCAGAGAATATGAATATATAAAGGTAACAATTTTGAAACCCATTTTACTATGTTTGCTGGATTCTCGATGGTTAATCAATTATATATAAACTACAGGAGAATAACAAGATTGAACTTGAGAGACTAGACAAAGAGAGGCGTGAGGATTTCATTGGGATGATGAAAGGATTTGTTGTTAACCAGGTACATAATAATTCAACTTAAAATCTTGAAATAAACATGAAGATGAAATATTTTTTATGTTTTGGAGTAGAAATTATTTGAATTTTTGTTTGTTTAACAGGTGGGATATGCAGAAAAAATGTCAAGTGCGTGGGAAATAGTTGCCAATGAAACAAGTGGATATGCAGAAAGATGTAGGTGAAAGTAGAAAGTATGTTTTTTTGTTAATAGTGTTAACATTTAGTTATATAAAAAATTTGTGTATTAACCACCCAAAAAGTGTTCTAAAATGAATTGTAATTCTAAACATTTTTCTAAATAGGATATGATTGAGTTGCACAAATTCAATGGTGTGTAAATCTGAATCGTACAAGTACCTAGTATCAAAAAACTTTCTACTTTTAGAAACAGAATCTAGTCGAACTTATATTCACAACAAGACCCCAACAAAACTCAAGAATCAAAAAATAGTCATCTTCAAACTACTCATCTTCAAACGTTCATCACTCCATCAAATTGCTGCCACCATCATTGCCGGAGCTGGTGGCGGTTTCCGGTCTAATCTCCTCCAACTGCTGAAGAAGTAGCTGAGCCTCCGGTCTAGCAGAAGGTGACGGATCAACACAATGCAAAGCCAATTTCAATGTATTCAACAACTCATCACCAATAACAGAAGCATCCTTCATTAACTCCAAATCAAAAACTTCATTAGTCCACTCTTCTTCCACAATCGAAGCCACCCATTGTGGCAAACCGACACCGTCCTCCGCCTCTCCCGGTGATTTTCCGGTGAGAAGTTCCAACATGATGACACCAAGACTGTATACATCAGTCTTGGTGTTGGCTTTCTTGAGCTTAGAAAGCTCAGGTGCTCGGTACCCAAGTGCACCCGCTGTTGCAATCACGTTTGTGTTTGCAGCAGCTGTCATTAATCGTGACAACCCAAAATCTGCAATTTGGGGGTTGAAATCGTCATCAAGAAGAACATTGTTTGAGGTTAGGTTTCCATGGATTATGTTTTGATTAGTGTGGAGGTTGTGTAAGCCTCTAGCCATCCCTTTCATTATCCTCATTCTTGTTGCCCAATTAACTGGTGTATTGGGTCCCCGAGCTGTATAAAAAAATAACAAAACCTTAGACTCCCTATAAAAATTTGAAGTTTTAACATTTATACTTTATTTTAACCGATCAAACCATTAAAGCTTCACACATTTGTCTAACCACTTTGACATGAAATTGGTTGATTTGGTAAATTGCATGTTTGATATTATAAAGTTGCCTTTTAACAAATTTAAAAAAACGTTTTAGTATTATTATTGTTTTTTTTATGTTTTGATTAATAAAAATAAAGCATAATTACAAAATTTATAATCTCATGATGTGATACTTAACAAATTAAGTATCCTTTTGACCAATAATACAAAATGACCACTACTTTTATAGCTATGGTGGTTGTGAATTGCGAATTTGACCCCCACCAAAAAAACTACAAAGAATCTAAACAAGGGTTTTTGTAAAAGAAAAATCTATTTCTAAATTGTAAGAGCAATGTTACAGGTACGAAATAGAATTTTGTTTGTTTGTTTGTTTTTTTTTTTTTTTTTTTTTTTTTTT